AGGCTCTCTTATATCATTCTAAGTATTTCCGTCTCTTGATGAAGGTTGTAAGATTTCATTTTCCACCCCATCATACTCCTCCTTATCATCACAATCCTCTACAATCAAAGATTGTGCATTAGATGCATCACTTGCTAATAGAGTCTCTATTTTGCCCTTCTTCGTCTTTTTCTTGTTTGTCAACCTTGCATTAAATTGGACATAAACAAGATTGTTCATCCTGGTAATGTCAAGTCTATTCGGTTTCTTCGAGTGTATCTAAAAAATAAAAAGATGAAGAAAAAGAAAAGTACATTTAATGGAGCAAATCATATTCAAGTAATTATTCATTGCTCAAGTAAAATGTAACAACCTAATTAATACTTACCCCTTCAAAAGAATTCCAATTTCTTTCACAACCGGATGAACTAGTAGTCAAATCAAGTATCCTTTTTACCATGGTCTTCAAATTGGGTGTTTCATTCCCATAAAAATCCCACCAACTCACTAATAAATGAATGTAAAAAACATGTTATTTAATATTTATATAATCATATATAAATTATAATAAATTAATGATATAAAAGAGAGTAATATGTTAACATACCCGGATTGTAATTTTCATCATTGTTCTCACATGCACTTATTGCAAGCTTCCTTCCAAATGAACCTTCCTTTTGGACATATTTTTGCAACTCAATATTTATCACATGATGTTGCATTTGATCATTAGGAAAGAATTTCTCAACACAAGCAATCAAATTATTTATCATGAATGAATCATCTTTTATACATGGATTCTTGAAGAAATAGAATGGATTCAAAACAAAAGCCGTTGTATGAAGTGAACTATCAAGGCGACCCTTCCTTTTAGCATCAATAATGTCCAAGATTGGCTTATAATCACATTCCCTCTTCAATATTTTTGCAATGTCATCCTTTGCCTTTAGTAGCTCTCCATAAACAAAGCCTATTGAAGGCTTTTCTTCTCCATCAACAAGTATAAGAACTTTCACTAGTGGAGTGAATACCTTCAAACACAAGTCTATCATGTTCCAAAAATCGTTCGGAACAATAATATCAAATGCCTATTTTCCCTTTTTAGACTTGGGACCATTTCGTGTTATCCCATTCATTGCTAGTCATCATACTTCTCAACTCTTGTTTTTTTATCAAGCAAACTTTGCAATGTTAAGAATGAGGATGCAAATCTAGTGACTCCTGGCCAAACTATCTCTCTTTTTGTTGACTTTCTCATCAATGCCAAAGTCTTGTGATGTGCATAAATGAAAATAGTGAATGATTTTGCCTTGCTAATCACTCCCTTGAAGTTGGGAAGTATAGAGATTCCTTCAAGCATAAGGTTTAAAGTGTGAGTGGCACATGATGTCTAAAATATGTTAGGCCATTGTAATTCTAACAATTTTGCAGCGGCCATATTATTGGAAGCATTGTCGATTACAACTTGAACCACATTTTCAACCCCAACCTCTTTAATACAATCATTGACATAGTCAAATATATACTGACCTGTATGAGCATCATTTGAAGCTTCCTTTGATGAAATAAATGTGATCCCCAATTTACAATTCACACACAAAGTCATAATGTTTCTTCTTTTTCTATCACTCCAAGCATCCGTCATGATTGAACACCCATTATTTTTCCACTCTTCTTCTTGCTTCTTCAAATTTTCTTTTGTCCTCTCCACCTCTCCATTCAAAAGTGGCTCCCTTAATTGGTACTGGGAAGGAGGAATGTAACCCGGTCCATATTGACCAAGAGCTTCAACAAATAGTTTAAAACTATCATTATCAATGGCATGAAAAGGAATTCTGGCTTCATAAACCCATCTTGCTAAATATCGACGAACCTCTAATAACCTTTTCTTAGCTATTGCATCATTCATATTTTGTTGTCTCAATTTCTTATTTGCACTCATAGAAGTATCATTGACATTGATAGACCTTGCAAATTGATCCATAGGTCCCACGTTAATAGGCCTTTTTCTAGTCCCTCTTTCAATAATAGCAATTTCATCTTCTTCCTCACATATAGTAGGCAAAGATATATTCACATCTTCCCTCAACTTAGCATCATTCAATATCTTCTCTATTTTTTTGGACTTTGTCCCTTGAATCGCCTCAAAACACTTAGCTTTTTGTTCTTCACTTGCTTTAGGACGTGATGCCACACCTTTTCCCTTAATCCCTGCTACGTGAAATTTATGCCTAGAGATTCCACCCTTAGTGACCTTATCGCATAATATCCATTTCACATTACTAAGATTGTT